AAAGTATACCTAAAGACTCACTCCATTTCTGTAGATCAACTTCGATTCACTTTGAAACTCGGACCAATGCATCGAAGCAGCAGCACCGTCGAGAAACTCGAGCACACCATATCGCGGTGGCGTAGAGACTTCGATTATCAATTTCTATAGAAATAAACTTTTGAGCATCTCTAAGGCACTTGAGAAAATAGTTGGGTAGAGTTACTGGGGAATGTGATTTTGAAAGACAGACTATTAAATAGTAAACTGAAATATGGGATCTGTTTACAATTCAAGGGAAGGTCCTGGCTCAGCCATACTGAAGTAATCCCCGTGGAGAGAGGTGTGTGGTTCACCACTGCAAGGCCGCGCCATCATTGCACATCGAAACGCGCCACTAGGAAGCTAGGCGCTAAGGACTTTGATCAAACCACCAAAACTATCAGGGTCCGCCCACCGTTCGATATCTTATCTGCTACGCAATGTTGATCTGCTGCCCTCTGCCTGCTGCCCTCTCTACTCGGACTTCTTACCCTCTCCGCGCTCACATTATCTCTCATCTCCCTGCCTGTCTTTTGAACTTCTCACAGCGTAGAGCAAAATGCTCGTATTTCCTGTGTATTTCACGATTTTCTTTCCTTTTTTCTCCACTGGCAGTCCACCTCCCACTCTACTTTCATATGTATTTTAGCGGAGTTAAATATCAATTTCAAGGAAGTGTTCATGGAAATCCCTATGGAAACGATGAGGAAAGTGACATTGGATTGGGTTGAGGTCCTACTCAATGAGACGACAGGTGACGCTTCAGGGGCAGTGGAAGGGGATGCAGTAGCAGCGTGCTAGATATGATACGGTTATCGTTATCGTCGATTTTCATTGCTGGAGTGCACCTCATTCAAGCAGCCGTATCTTCTTATCTCATCGTATCATATCTTCCATGGCTTACACTCGTCCAACCACTATCTGCCTCCGACCTTATCAGCTGAGCTTACCTTACCTTTAAGGATAAGTTGTCTATTTGCATAGACTCGTTAACCCAATTGTGTGACATCCCACTCGCGCCTCATGATCAGTGCTCAACGGTGACATACATCATGTAAAAACATTTTCCTTGAAAATCGTTTGCTGACCCCGATTTACAATATGCCTATTTTCCGCAGGAGCCTTTCGCATGAGCTATTTGCCTGATTATTGCTGCCCACGGCCAAAGAAACCCCGTAACGTATGCAACTAAGACAATATTGCTGCAGCAGAATAGAGATAATAAATTAAAATGGTAAGGGTAATATAATAATAGTATTAGTAAGTTACAGTGAATATTCAGGAGGGTATGTGGTGACCGCAGTAAAAAGAAAGCTCTCTAAGAGATGGATACCTCATTCTCAGCTGATGATGCCAGAATAGAGGCGTCAAGGTGATCTTTATGGTAATGCGGCCGAATCCACTTGTAAATGTATGCTATACGAAGTTATTACGGGCTTAAAAATGGAACCAAAAAAAGACTGGCTCAACACTGATGAATGAAAAAGCGCAGGTGGTAGCACTCGTGTTACCTTTTGAGATATTTAACGGTGACGTTTTCACATAGTACTCTGTAGGGTCGTGCAGGGCGGCGTATGTAGATGCAATGCGGAATCTGGAAATCACTTACTGTAATACTCTCAGTTGTCACTAAAATTTTGAGTTATGGACAATTTGATACACCTCAAACGAAATCCAAGCTTCCATTCATACTTTTCGAACCAGCCTTTATCCACTTCACTACTATGACTACACTTCCTCCCTGCGCTTTTCAAAGATACATATTCGGAATATTCTCTCTAGCTTATTACACCGTGGACGAGGAATGGCTAACGAATGAGATCTCAAAGGGGGGGGGGCGTAAACCACGCCCATACGATTGGTGCGGGGTGAGGTACCCGACAAGAGGCCCGTCGCGCGACAAAATGGCAGAGCAAGTGGACGAGGATGTGCAATGGTACATTGTTTTCAACTTGACGCGAAATCAGTCCAGTACTCGTTCGCTGACTCTGCCTTCTTGCCGCGCGACGGGCATCTTGTTCGGGTACCCGTGCGCAGTACGATTTTTTTCTAGTATTTTTTTTACATATCGGGCTTTCTTTAGGCACTAGTGGACCAAAAATCATAGCTGCTATAGCTGGAGGCTATAAGTTACCCATACTTAGTCGTCAAACGTGCCTTCAAAAATCGAATCGCTCCTAGTAAAGCACTTTTACTTTGGGAAGAAAGAAAAGAATTGATAGGGGTTCACCATGATGAACAAAAAACCTGGATATGGTTACCAATAACCCTGGAAGTCTTCGCCTAGCCCAACTTCGCATTCACTTTCAAAGACAAAATGAATGAAACTCAGTGCGCATATGGTAAAGATTGATCAACGCTCTCCTCCACCCCATTTTTCGCCCTTCGTCCTGTGTATGGAGTAGCTGTGAGGCAACATATCTATAGGATAGGTGGAATGGGTAGATAGATCCAAAAAGAATGAATTTTAGAGAAATCAAGAACGCTGATTACCTGAATTCTTCTTCTATCGGCTTATCGGATCCGTTCTTCTGGAGCACAAAGTAGAAAGAATCTTTACGTGTCCACTCTTTTTGTGGAGCCCCTGACGGCTGATACACGACACGATTGCGATTTACCTGAACATATTCACTGATATTTCATCAATATTGTATCAAGTAAATGAAAACATGGTCTCCAGTGAAGGAGAGGGCACTCAATTCGAAGTTTTTGCCCAGTTTTCCCAAGGGCGCAAGGAAGCTCTGGAGTGGGTGTAGAAGCAGACGCAGAATAAATCGCGCTCTCGGGGACTCCCTACCAATGTAGAAAATCGGAATTTTCCATAGGTGGCGGGCGGCAGCTGTCGCCACACATGCTCCCTTCCCATTATTAGACGCGACCCTAAAAACATAAGAATAAATTAAAACAGTCCAGCTGGATGCCTATCCTCAATGGAGTCTAGAGCTACTATAGAACGCGAGTGCAGACATTCTGCAAGCCAAAGCTTTTCTATTTGGAGATTTCGGGAAGTTCAGAAATGGCTACGTAAACGATAAGCTCGGAAGCAAGCTTCAAAAGGTCAGAACTGTACTTAAACTGATTAAGCTAACGGCACATCAAGATTGACTGAATTTTCCGGTTTCATTCAGACCGACGAGCAATTTTCCATATTTTGGTGGTTTTGACACAGAGAACAGTATCTGCTCTGGACGTGCCTAAAGTACAAATGTTTGCAAACTTTATATCATTTTAGATGTTAAAAAAATTTCAGTAGAGGGGCAACCATCTGTTAGTCAATATTCAATGAAGGGAGGGGGATATAGAGAGAGTGTAGGCTGTTCTCGCAATCTAAAGATGAACCGTAATTGTTGAAATTCGTGGTTTTGACAAGAAACTCTGTCCCATAAACTGGCCGAACGGGGAAACGCGCGAGTTATAAAATGTCCTAATTTCTGATAAATCTCCCTACCCCTTGCAAACAAGATGGCGGCTTGCCAAAGTTTAGCTGCAACGCGTTAGCTGACCCTTAATTTAGAACATTACGTTTGGAATGCTGGCTCGAAGTGATTCAACGCCGATGACCGTGCTGGCATTTGGCGAAGCAAGCAGGCGTGCATTCGTTTGAAGGACTGGCGACGAACTTGTCCAGCTTTCAATCGAGAACCATTCGGGACCAATTTGATGGACACCATCCGAGAGCAGGAACGAAAATCCACCCGAGCCAGACGTATCTGTAATGATCAGAAAATTCTGTGCTATAGCCGCTGTTTTGTTTATACTTACACTTACATTTCCCTCAGAGCGATACATTTCGGTAGAGATGTGAGAAGCATCCGGGAATTATATGCGACACACGAAGGGGTGCTGATGGCCCAGAAAGACGAGGTGTGGTGCTCACGACGAAAAGGTGCGCTACTCGGTTGCAGAGCACAACTCCGGAAGCACTCCCCCAAAAAGCGCTCCACCCATTAGTTTAGTTTGTGAATTGGACGAGCTGTGTTACCAGCGGAGGCCAACTTCCGGAGGGGTGTGCGTCATATGGCGCGATCCCATTGGCATTGGAGCGCACAGGCCGTAATTACCACATCCTGCTGTGGCCGGACAACTCGTCCGCGCAACACATTCTGTTCCGTTCCTCTTGCCTTGGCATCAGGCCAGCGAAGCTATCCGCTCTTTTTAGATCTTTGGGACTCAGCGAGATTTTTGAGACCCAAATTATCAGATCGATCAATTACTGAAGTCTAGTAGTTGAGTGATACGGACGAGTTGTCCGCCGCAGCAGGAAGGGCAACTGCGGCCTGTGCGCTCTCTTGCGAGTGGGATCGAACCGCCTCCCCAACTGGAGCAACTCAACTGGGAGCGTGGTTTGGCATGGTGCCTTCAAACGCGCTGCGGTAAACTCGTCCACAAGGTGCGCCGGCTCAGCCGTTGCCCGTCCATGAGCGAAAATGGCCTAAAAGTGGGTTTCATCTTGTTTCCTAACGGAATTCCTTGCTTTTTTCGCCACTGGCGAACCACTGCTCACCGTCACGTCCCCACGAACTCGCTCCAGAACCATCGTAATCGCTGCCTCGAAAACCAAAACCAAAGCCATAGAAAACCGAATGAAACGCGAGGTGATTTTCCTATAAACGTACTGCCTTGTCTCAAGAAAACAATGGACGAGTCATCGATTTCCTTTTGCGAGAAATTGTAGATGTCCTTTGACAGATCGTTAACGTTCACCACCATACCATTAGACGGTTTAGAAATCAAGAAGAACACTCCACTTGGCGGTGTATCGGGATCCTTAATTAATTATTGAAAGCTAAAGCCATAATTTAACTCTCATAGCAAGCAATAAAAATGTTCAACTCTTATAGATAGCGGGCAAAGTATGTCACTGGCGATGTTTGTCGGCAGATGACGAATAGCGCCACAGCGACAGAGAGCCGGCACTGAATTCTGTAGAGCACTTCCATAACCCCTCGAGATTTTCTGGCAAACTACCCTGCGCTGATAAGTGGTAAAGGGTGGCCGTACTGTCAGACGTACGCGGTAAACTAATTGAACTTAAAGGCAAAGTTCGGGCTCAGACCCACCTAAGAAGCCCTTACCATGGCTAGAAGTGCTGGGTACGCAAGTGCAAAGGTAGCGCCACCTTTCTACATCGAAACGCGTCACTAGGACCCTAGGCGCCATGGACTTCTAACAGACTCCACCAAA